AAAATAATGTCTTTTATTTTATTTTATTTATCTTTGTGTCCAACTCAGCCCACCCAGGGAGCAGGGCTGGCACAGCATGCGGTGCCGGGTATCGAACCGCGGCCCCTAGGCTTGCCTAAGCTTGCTTAAGCAGGTGCTTTAGACTGCTGAGCTATCCTGCTGGCCCCCCTGGGAGCTGTTTTTAAAGAGCATGTCTGTGGCCCTTGCACGAGTGGCACTGGCATCACATACAAGTTTACTAGAAATGCAAATACTAGGCTCCATGATGACCCTCTAGTCAGTGATGGTGAACCTTTCAGTGCTTTCAAGGGCAGCAGCCCGCTTTGGGCACACATGCCGTAGGTTCAGGCGCCATGGGTGTAGGTGATTCTCTCACAAGCTGAGATGCAGTAGCAACCCACACTCTGCTGATCCTGGCCAGTGGCGTCTCCAGCTTTAAAAGTGTTTGGTGCACACAAACACAGTAGCAGCCTTGTATGGGCTCATCCTGGACTCCCTCATGTGGCTGTTTACCAGGTGTAGGGCATTGCAGAAGGATCAGCCAGTGGAGGGGCCCCTGGGCCCAGACCCAGAGCTGCTCTTGTGCAGCCTCTGGAGTTGTGGCAGGGACCTGCCCTGAAGAGCCAGATGCTGCCAGGCTCCATGCTGTCTGGTCCTCAGCACCTCTCTCTGTCCTCCCACATCCAGCGGCCTTTCTTCATAGCTTGAGATGCTTCTGCAGCCCCTGCGGCTCCACCCAGCTCCTCAGTATGGCCCTGACTCTGTCTGGTATCTGTTGTTCCCCTTGACACTGTGAGCTAGAGATGCACATTGGCATGAGCTGAACCCACCCTCAGTCTCATGCACCCTCTCTGACTTCCGTCCAGGGAACCACTGGGCACCACTGTTTCCACAGGTGCAGCCAAGGCCTATGGACAACCAGGTGGGAGGGGCCTTGGCAGGCTGAGTGCTGGCTATTCATCCTCAGGGTCGCTTTCAGCAGTGGCCTGGCCAGGATAGAGAGGGCATACACTGAGAGTATAAGGACTCACTGAAGTCCTCCCACTTGGTGCCCAACTGTGCTTGCGTCTCCATGGATACAGGCAACACAGGGCTTCGGTTTACAGTTTGTTTTCCTCTCCATGAGGGCTTCCTCAATGTCCCTTGGAGGGTCAGCCTTCTTCTAGAGTGGCTTCTGAATGTTAGTCCCTCTCATAGAATGAGAGACCTCCAGGGCAGGAGGAATAGGAAGTCTCTGGTTCCTCAGTGCTGCCTGGGCTGGCTCTGATCTGCAGGCTGAGTGACATCAGTGCTGATGCTTGTTACAGGTTTATCATGCATGGACTGAACTTGGCTTTTGGACCCAAGCATAGGTTCTCCTTTGAATCTGCATAGGTTCTCCTTTGGATCTCTGTGTAGGCTCTTTACTTTTTTTTTTTTTTTTTGCAGAACCGGGGATTGAACTCAGGCCCTTGTGTTTGCCTGGGAAGCACTTATTCCACTGAGCCATCTCCCTGGCCCCTATGTGTAGGCTCTTTAGTTCGATTCAACCCAGTGCTGGAGACCAAGGTCTCCCACTCAGCAAGACCCTTCCATCTGGACATGACTTGGCTACCTAGTAAACATATTTTCATTGTCTTGGATACAAATGACAAGGAAAGGCAGAGCCAGGTACACTACCTTTAGGGCAGGTTATAAAAAGTACCTGTTTAACTTAAGATCCTGATGACCTCTGAAATGGGCTGAAGGATGGCCCTGTGTCCTTGTCCCCATCCCTTGAATCTGTGGAGGAACACATCAGTGGAAAAAGGGTTTTGGGGTTGGGGAAATAGCTCAGTAGAATAAGCGCTTGCCTGGCAAGCACAAGGGACTGAGTTCAATCCCTGGTGCCACAAAAGAAAAAAAAAAAAAAAAAAAAAAAGGGAGTTTTCAGGGCAGCATCCTGGGTGAGCCACGTAACCTTGTGTGTTAAGTGGGGGCAGACAGTGTGCCTAGTGAGGGACAGATGTGACTATGGCCACAAAGTCTAAAGAGATGGCCAGGGGCCATGCATACCACAGCTTTTGCAGGGTCCCTTTCCCCAATTCTGAAGAAAGACCCAACACTACCTACTTAACTCTGGTCTGGAGGAACTGATTTTGGACCTCTCGCCTCTAGAATTAAAGAATTGTTTGGCTTATGGTAATTTTTGTTTGGTGTTTTTCTTTTTTTTTCTCCATGCTGGTGACTGAACTCAGGGCCTGAGGCATGCTAAGCAATTATGTTACCACGAGCCCCACCCCCAGCCATCTGTGGTGTTTTAAACTGCTATGTTGTGGCCATGTTTTTTTTTTTTTTGGTGGAACTGGGGATTGAACTCAGGCCCTTGTGCTTGCGCTTGCTAGGGAAGCACTTATTCTACTGAGCCATCTCCCTCGTCCTTGTGGCCATGTATTTTAACAGACACAGGCAAGGAGTCTATGCTCTGTTCTGAGTCTCCAGAGGCCCATGTCCCTGTATGTATGGTCCAGCAGCCATTCCAGCCCTGCCAAGGTGGTCTCCTTTTTGAGAACGGTCCAATCTGCTGATGTGATGAGTTACAAGTCATGCATCTGGAGTGGCCAGAGATACATACTGGCCAGGAAAACTGAGAAAAGTCACATAAATTACTTTCCAAAAGGCTTACTTCGGCTTCCAGATGTGGGGCGTTAGTGTTTTCGAAGCTGAAGTAGTTGACTGTAAGTGTTCAACTACTTCAGCTTCGAAAACACTAACACCCCAAACTTTTCTTTTAAAAAGAAAGTTCAACTACTTTCTTTTTAAAAGCAAGCAGAACACACGAGTGAGGATTGTTTTATTACAAACGGAAGCATTTGTTTACATGCATCTGGGCACTAGAAGTCACACTCATCGGACTGTTAGTATATCACCCTTCATGATACAGAAGTACAAGGAGAAGGGAGGCCCCCACGAATCATCAGCAATTAACAAAAGCCCCACAGGGCTCCCCACAGAAGACTGCAGGGAAGTCTCAGACCTAGGAAACAGGGAGTCCCCACCACCAGTACCACTCTCACACAGGCCATAAAACCCAGACACTTTTATTTATGCTTTAGAAAGCAAGCAGGCTGCCCACAAAGAATGATTAGGAAACTTGAAGTGTTTTATTTTATACTTTATTTTATTAAAAAAAGTAGATCATCATTGTTGCATATGTATAAATGATTTTCCTGGCAATAGTAGTTAACTTTTAACTGCCCATTCAAAAATTTCACAACTTCTAGTATTTCACAACTTAAACTTCCCCCTGCTTTTATTTTGGATAGTGCATTCTCATGGAGTTCAGCTGATTTATGAAGAGTTTCTTTTAAAAGAAAGTTCAAAATCTTTAGTAGCATTAAGAAAAACCACCAACCTCTGAGTCAGTGTCCTTTTTCAACAGTACCATTGCTTCTAAAAAGTGGGGGAAATGGCATACCTGTACCATTCAGATCAAAGCACAAAATATTTAAAAAAATAAATACCTAAGGCATACCTGCCACACTTTTAAGTCAGTTTCCTCAGCATTGGAAAATTTTCTCAAGGGTCCCTGGTTTCCAGCTGCCTTCCACCAGCGCCTGCCCTGGCCCACCACCTGCCTTGAGGGTGAATGCTCCTATCCCTTGTCAGGAAGCCTGCAGTGTGTCAGCCTGAGCTTCACACACAATTCCAGAAACTCAAGTGACACCATGTGGACTCACTCTAAATCTTTTTTTAGTGCAGTTTGGCAAATATCCCAAATGAAATTCAACTCTGAGTTAAGAGTATCAAGCAGAGATAGAATTAAGTGCCCCAGAGGCTTGACGAGCTTAGGGACAGAAAACCCAATTGTTGGGGACAAAGCGCTGCACACACCTGTTGCTTTACCATAACAGAACTGTTACCCGGAGAGATTGCGGGGCCTCACAAGCAGGCTGCTGCTCCTGTCAGCATCTTCAAAGTCCCCGCCCTTTGCCCGACCTCCCCATCTCAGAAATACTGGCACCATCACACTAGAACTCACAGTGCTAAGAACAGCAAGCATTAAACACAGACCCCTGACAGCCTGATTCTTCATCCTTTCCTTCCCGGTACTCGGGATCGCTCTCTAGCTCAGGCTCCGGATGAGGATTTCAACTGCACTTTGGTTTGGGCTTCTAGAAAAAGGGTGTCATAAAGTCTGAAGCGACCATGGCTAGATAGCCAGGTCCCCTGGTTTGGCCCGTCCGCTGCTGGCCTTGCTGGACCTCCTGGGGTCCTCAGGGAGCAGGGCGGGCGCCTCCACCCCCGGGGTGCCGCCCCTCGCGCTTCCGGCCAGGCTGCTGCCGCTGCCGTCCCTGAGCCCCGCTTCCTGCACCGGCTGCGGGGCGCGGCCTGAGGGGCTGGGGGTTGTGGAAACCCAGGCCGAGGCCGGGGGTACCCAGGTCTGCGCTGTCACCGGCAGGGGATGGCCCTGCACGCACGCCTCTCCTGGGGCTTCCAATCCGAGGTCCGTGGCCGGCAGTGGAGTCCCGGAGTGGCCCTGGGACGTGTGCACGCAGCAGGGCGAGACCCCAAGGGGGACCGCGGGTCCGTTGGGGCCCAGGTGGCTGGTCACCCCCTGCTTAAGCTTCTTCCAGCCTAGGTGGTAGATCTCCAGCATGTTGAGCACGAGCGACGCGCAGGCCACTGCCAGCATGAAGAGGATAAAGATGGTCTTTTCTGTGGGCCTGGAGATGAAGCAGTCCACAGTGTTAGGGCAGGGCCAGCGGTCACAGCGGTACAGCGGCTGCAGCTGGAAGCCATACAGGAAGTACTGCCCTGCGATGAAGCCCACCTCGAAGAGCGTCTTGAAGATGATGTTGAAGACGTAGGTGCGCAGCAGTGCCCCGGCCATGCGCACCCTGCCTCGCTCCTCGCGCCCCGCGAGCTCCTGCGTGTCCACCGCAGCCTGCAGTGCCCAGGCGGCGTGCGGGCTGTCTGCCCTCTGCGGCACCTCCGCCCTCGCCTTCCTCTTTTCTTCCATGCGTACCAGGTGTAGCACGTGGCCCAGGTAGATGAGCGTGGGCGTGGACACGAAGATGATCTGCAGCGCCCAGAAGCGGATGTGCGAGATGGGGAAGGCGCGGTCGTAGCACACGTTCTCGCAACCTGGCTGCTGGGTGTTGCAGGTGAAGTCTGACTGCTCGTCGCCCCACACCTCCTCCGCCGCGGCCCCCAGCACCAGGATCCGGAAGATGAACAGCACTGTCAGCCAGACCTTGCCGATGACCGTGGAGTGCTCCTGCGCGTTCTCTAGTAGCCTCCCCAGAAAGCTCCAGTCGCCCATTGCTCCGAATTCCTGACCTGCAAGGGACAGTGCAGGGAGGTTAGCACAGCTGGGACCCAGGCGCCCCAAGCGAAACAGCTTCACTTCAGCGCTGGGGACCTTTTCACAGATGTGTTCCCCATCATGGATTCAGCCAACTTCAGGCCAAAACTACTGGGGCTGGGGTGAGGAGAGATAACAGCCCTACAATCCTAGCAGGTACAGACTTGTCATCCTTCTCTACACAACACAGGGAAACAATGTGGTACTAGGTGTTGAGTGATCTAGAGACAACCTGAAGTACACAGAAGGGTGTGCAGAGGTCCCATGCAAATTCTGAGCATCCTTGGAGTCTGGTACCCATGGGGATCCAGGAGACAGTTCCCCAAAGGTACTGAGGGCAACTGTATTCATCTCCCATGATTGTGGTCTCCAGGATGAAGTAAATGCACACAGCACAGGGGACTTTTGGCAGCTGTAACACAGGCAGGCCCTGGTTGGCAGAGATGAGATTTGTAGAAACCAGAGCTAGGGGAAATGCCCCCCCCCCCATAGCCTCCCTCTCTCCCCTAGCCCTTGGGCCCCCAAAAGCTCTGGGACCCTGCAGGCAGCTGCAGCAGCTCCTAATCCCTGTTAACAGCTCCTGTGGGATCAGAGCAAGCTCACCCTAACTGCTGCCACTGCCACATCATCTCGTGACCTCTGCCACACTCACTACCTCCTACCACTTTTCTTCATATGCTTACATGTACCTTAAGTAGGAAATGCTACATCACTACTGTAAAAAGAAAAATAAACATTGGTACCATACATGGTAGCTTTCAGAATACACTGATGAAAACAAAACTGTTACATTTCACTGGATATTGTTTGACAAAAGTTCTAAACATAAGCTCTCTGTTTAAAAGAGATTTAGTAGGAGGATGAGAAAGGTGTTAAACAGTTGTCCCTCAACACTGAAAGGCAATGGGTTCTAGGACTCCTAGGCTACCAAAATCTGTAGCTATTCAAGGCCCTTATATAAAAGGATCCAGTATTTGTATAGAACCCACGCACACCATTCTGTATACTGTAAAACATCTCTAGGTAACATACAATGTCTAATACAGTGTATGTGCCATGTAAATAGTTAATACTGTGTTGATTAGGAAATAATGACAAGAAAAAGTCTGTAATGCTCTGTCCAGACATTATTTTTTTCTTTTTTTTTTTGCGGAACCAGGGGTTGAACTCAGACCCTTGCGCTTGCCAGGGAAGCATTTATTCCACTGAGCCATCTCCCCGGCCCCCCCTTTTTTTTTTTCAGACATTATTTTTTTCTAAATATTTTTGATCCTTGGTTGACTCGGAACATATAAAGGGCTGACTGCTGGTAGCAGATTGAGACTTTTCCCAAGTCTTCCCCATTGTGGAAATGACCAGGCAGAGCTGACTGGGTACGCAGGCAGGCAAGGCTCAGCAGGACCTGCGCACCAGCAAGGTGCTTGGGCTTACCTGGCCCTGGTCATTCTGCCCTACTGTGGGCTTCAGGCTGGCAGAGTGGGCCCTGTAGGGTACACTGGTCACTGAATTGCACTAGTGGGCATCAAAGTCTCAATCTGCTACCAGCAGTCAGCCCTTAAGTTCAGAGTCAACCAAGGATCAAAACTATTTAGAAAAAAATGTCGGGATAGAGCATTACAGACTTTTTCTGAATTGCACTGGTGTCTGCGGTACTGTGCTGCTTGCTGAACCAATATACACCAGCTGCAGCCAGGATGCTAGTGAGCACTGCCAAAGACAGTGAGAGAGGCTAGCAGGCTGTGGCACTGAGGGCACTGGGCAAGGTGCACAGGTGCAGCCACCGCTGAGGGGGCCTAATCCAGGGACAGCACTGGCTACAGACCACATCCCTGGGCAGGAGGTGTCTCTCTGAGCCCTGCATAGGAGATGACAAGTTCATGGTCATATAGTGATGCAAGGAGATAAAATGGGGGCCCTTTCTGAGGAGGTGGCAGTGCCCTGTAGATATGGGGGGCAGAGATAAGAAGGTGTCCCCATGTTGCTGCTGCTCAAGTTGGCCAGGCACTGTGAGCCAATAGAGAAGGCTCCAGGTCCTTGCTGCCATTCTTCAAAGCTGTGAGTATATGCTTGGGTCTCAAGGAGCCTCATGGACACTAGTCACTATAAATGTAAACTTTAAATTTTACAGTGTTCATTAATTTTTATGAATAGGCTTACAGGTAAATAAAACTTTCTCAGCAGGGGCTGGGGAGATGGCTCAGTGGAATAAGCACTTCCCTGGCAAGCACAAGGGCCTGAGTTCAATCCCATGTTCAGAAAAAAAAAAAAAAAAAAAAAAAAAAAAAAGATCAGTGTTAATTCTCTCTACAAATACACTTCCAAGTTTTTGCTTGTTTTTAATTAGAGAAACTTAACTCTATACAGTCTACCATCGTCTTGGTCCATGTTGTGACTAGCATCTTTTTGCATGCTTTCAGTAGATACAACACTTCATGCTAGAAAGGTAATTACTATACATGAGAATCCCACTCTTTTCCAGGAGGGATATCAGGGAACCTATTAGGAGACCTCATTCTCCTCCAAGGTACCAGTCCTAGCTCTGAACTAGCCCTCCCAGCTGTTTCCAGAATGATGGGTGCTCAGGTCTCCTTGCTAGACTGCAGTGTGGTCTGAATGCTGGGCCTTGGTCTCCAGGGTGGTGGCAGTGGAAAGGGGCAGAACCATTAATGGGTAGGGCCTAGCAGGTCTTTCGGTTACTGGGATGCCCACAAAGAGGAGTGTGAAATTTAACCACTTTCTTCCTTAGACACACACACACACACACACACACACACACACACACACACGCATGCATGCACATGCACACACACACACACACACACACACACACACACACGTCCACATGATTGCAGGGGAGTATGGGGCAGGGGAACAAAGAAAGAAGATGAATATGTATGTGTTTCCTGAAACTGAGGCAATGCCAGTGTCCTGCTCTTGAACCTCCAAAGTTGTAACCCTCTTCTTCACATGTAGCCCACATCAGGTATTCCTTATGATGACAGAAAAAACTTCACTAGAATGCTCCCATGGTCCTTTGCCCTTCACCCTCCCCTCTGCATGCCCTGAGATCTTCTATTGTGCAGTCCCAAGCATAGCTGCCAGGCCTCTGGGCAACACTGCAGACAAAACTGGCAGCATGCATGGCCCACTGGGACTGGATCAGCCTTTATTATTTTTCTTTTTGGTTTTCTGAGCCAAAGTCACTATGGCCGGGGAGATGGCTCAGTGTAATAAGCGTTTCCCTGGCAAGCGCAAGGGCCTGAGTTCAATCCCTGGTTCCACCAAAAATAAATG